AAAATAAAATAAAAATTATATAAAAGAAAATTTCAATGTATTACTATTCATTACTTTAAAAGTTTGTTTCTCTTTGACCACAGAGAAAAATAGGCGAAGCGCAGCGAAAGAAAATGAAGGGAAATACAAATGATTTCCTTCATATTCATAAGCCGCGTTAATGCGGGCTGCAGCTTCCTTTTGTCGCTTGAGCTTCATTGCTTTTTGGTTTTTTCGTTTTTTTTTTTTTTTCTCACAACTTGGCAGCTTGTGCAACATTTGCGGCTGCTTAATTACGCGAGGCTATTTCACTTTATTTCTGCCCGGCGAAAATCCGCTCACGCATAAGCTCAAACATTGCATTTTCGCGCTGCTGCTGCGACAGCTGCAACAAATTGACATTTGTATTAAACGAAAAGTTGCCACAGCAACAGCAAGGGAGAGAGAGGAGTAGAGTGGGAGAGTGGCGGAGAAGGAGAGATGTCAGCCATTGCGTGAAGGACACTTGGGCCGGGCACAGTGCGCATCATAAGTTAATGTACGACAATGGCCATGTATAAATAAAAGTTGTCCTGCCAAGAAAAACTCTGGCAGTTAATTTCACGCTGCCAGCCTCTGTGACTGCTCAAGATGATGAAGTGCATTCGCATTTGGACAACAGCCGCAGCCAGTGAGCACGGACTGTGTAAATTAACAAATGCCACAGAGTCTCCCACCCCCTCTCACTCACTCACTCACTCCATCTCCCTTTGCCTCTCTCTCTATACATTTCCATATTTCCATAGACCCCTTTGTGTGTTTTATAGCTGTCATATGTCCTATGATACCGATACAGCAGTCGACAGCAATGTGCGCCTATCTTAATTTCGTGTCACACACATGAAATTGACACCCATTGTGCGTGAGTGTGTGTGAGTGTGTGTGAGTGTATTCAAAAATTTATAGTCATTTATGAGCATGCTGGAGTGTAATAGGTCTGCCACATTGGGGACAGCTAACACGCAGATAAACTGCACAATTACAATAAAACAAACAACAACAATGGAATATAAAGCCGGGCCAAAAGAATTTAGATAGCGTGCGGGCGGGCCCAATCGCTACTTTGATTGGCCTAGTGTGTGTGCTTCATACACAAAATGGGCCAACGGGCAGTTCCGTTATATAGTCGACCCACTAGGCCAAGGCATCAGCTTGATATATGTTTTTTTTTTTTTTTTCATAAAAGTCTAATCAGAGTGCTCTAGTTGGCAAAGTAGAGACACCTATTTGCTCTCCGCTCTCTAATTGGCATAACTTTACCTTACGCTAATTTAATTTACGTAATGGCCTCTGCTTTACAAGCAACTTTGCATTCAAAAGAAACTTTTTTTAGAGTTTTTCATTTGCACTTCATGTCCTCTCTGCTCCGCTCCGCTCGTTTAGCTTTATGGCTGCTGGCTCTGGCAGCAATCGGCTTTATTTATCTGGCTGATGCGCATTCGAGTGCATTTATGACCTTGAGCCGCAGCAAGGTGTATTTGGCCAATATAAAGCTGGCATAGGACATGGCCAGGCCATTAGCTACGCCTACTTGAATGCTCGTCTGGCTGTGTGCAGCCTGAGAGCCATTATTGTTATCTTGTATCGTGTGTACATCCGCATTAATTGTTCCTGGACCGCAGCTTCATTACGATGCTGGTCAGCCTGCCAGTCCCGGCTTTGTTGTCCTTATCAGTTCCGAATGAGCTCGCTCTCTATCTCTCTCTCTCTCTCTCTCTCTCGCTCTCTCTTTCAGCAATCGTCTCTCGTCTTGGTCGCATATTCAGCACGTATTCAGCAGACGCCCTTATGGCGCTCTCTTTATCTCGCTCTCACGCATGCGCAGTAACCAGAGCTAAGGCGCTCTTCATGCTTCATCACTTGTGTTTACACGATGAAACTTGCGATAAATAGTAATCTGACTTAAGAATAGATATTACTAGCATTAATGTTTACACAATGAAACTTCTGATGGATAGATATCTGATTTTATAAAAGATTTCTTATTAAACTATCATATCATATTCATATCAAAATTATATCACATTCCACGGCAATTGAGTCGGCCTGAGCTCAATCATCACTTTTGGCTTTATAGAGCTGTTACGATTCAACTGAAAGAGCTCATAACTTATGCACGTGAGAGCATGATATAATGTCAACATAATAAGTAAAAAAAAAAAAAAAAAATACAAATTAATTTGAATGAGTTTTTTAAACTTTCAACCTATTGCCTCTGTGTTTATGCGATGAACTTTCTGAGATGTGCGTACGTGATATTATTCGGTTATGTTAATATGAGATAAGATCTGGCTATAAAACCTGGTTTATTTGATACATGAATTAATTGGAATGCATAATGATTCATTAAAGCGCATGTCATGTTCCCACGATGAAATTTGGAATAAACAACATTTCTTCAGAAATGTTTACACGATGATCACTCGCTTAGTCAGTTCCAGTTTTAGGTCATTGCTTTTAAGAAAATCCCTCATAAATAAAAAGAAAATTATTATTTTAAATATCATCTTGCTGTTTTTATTTGTTTGAACACAATACTACATATAACTAACTAGTGGATGTTGTTAGACGCCGTTAAAAAGATAGAAAATTTAGTATTACAATTTTGCCTGTTCTTTTTTTTTAGGTTTTTTGTTTTTTGGTACAAACATTTGATACAAATATTCGGTAGCTGATTGACTGAATGATGTTATCAATAATACAATATAAATAATTTTAAGAATACATCAGCATGATAATTGCAGAGTAAATGATGCTACGGCTAGAGGGAATAGTATGTACGCTACATCATATGGCAATTCGTGTATGGGGAATGTTTAAATACGAGTAGAAGAGCCTATCATTTGCTACATATTAGTTGGGACAGTTAGACAGTTAGAGCGAGTAGGAGCTATAGTCAGCTGGGAAGCTCAGAATCGAAGATGGTTCTAATGACACTACATAGTAGTTATTACTGGGCGGGTGAGCTAATACATTCTGCGGCATATTGGTTGCATGGCAGTGCTGGGCAGTGGGAGGAGCTGAGGTGGGGAGAGGAGGCATCTCCACTCTCTCCCTCTCTCTCTCGCTCCATCTCTCTAGCCACGCCAACTCAAAAGGCTCCAGCCACGACTGGGCTTCGGTGTGCTGGACACAGGCGCGTCCTGCGCTGCCGCTGCCGCTGCCGCATCCTGCTGCTTCTCCTCGCTCGGATTCTGATCTATATGGGTGCGTAGTATAGTGTGCTTCTGTACGGCCTTCTGGAACTCCGTTGCACTGGGACGATATGCCTCGAGCTTGTGGTAATACCGACCGGAATGCCTCTGATTCCTCTCCGTTGTATGGGCCTGGCTACTGCCACGTGCCTGGGTGCCAAAGGAGCTACCGCCTGACGTCGTCGATGCTGCTGCTGCTGCTGGTGCTGCTGGTGGAGATGGTGGTGCTGCCTGTTTAGGGAATTGGGAGGAGGAGGAGGGGGTAAATTGTTGATTGGGATTATTTTGGTTTTGGTTTTGGTTGCTCTGTTTGCTGTTTGCTAATAGGCTCTTGTTAATGTTGTTAGTCGGCTTGTTGTTGTTGCTGTTGCTGTTGCTCTTGCTAGCTGAAGAACTGTAGCTGTATTCATACGTTTCAATTGTGTTGCCACCATAGACGCTGTTGGGGGCCGCCGGCACAGCGCCTGGCGCGGCGCACAGTCCCTGGTACCGTGACGAGGGCTTCATGCCGTAGGTGGCGCACGATGGCTTGCCCACCTCATAGGGATTGTAGCCAACTACGTTGCCACTGCACACAGAAAGAGAGCGAAAGAGAGAGAGAGAGAGGAGGGAGAGTGGGAGTTGAATTAGACCTCATTTGTTTTCAGCAGTCGATGTTGCATGCTTACCCCGGTCCATAGTTGCACACGTAGAGCTTGTTGTACTTGATCGTATCCTTGTACTCGGCAAAGCCACAGCCCACCAGGCTGGTCTCGCCCCACACGAGCTGGGAGTAGTGGCCCGTCTTGGGCGACCAGGCATCGCCGAACGAATACTTTTGCACCTCGTTGAACCAGTTCTGGATGCGCGATGGGAAATCGCCATCGTCGGGATCCAGTGGCGCAGTGCTCCAGATGACAGCCAGATTCTGGCCCATGGTAAAGCGATCTATGGGTAGAGATCAAGCAAGTGCACAAGTTAGTCAACCAGATCCTGAGGGCTCCAGAGCTATGGCCGCTATAGCTAGATGCGGTATGGTCTAGGCATACTGGGTTAGTTTTAGTGTTTAGTTGCGGATGATAACCAGTGCACCGGGATGTATATTAATGATACTTTACCAAGGCCCTCTGAGCGAGTGCATGCAAACCGTAATTCACACGTAAATCACATGAACCAGCTGCCGGCTGTCGTATTGCCGGCATTCATATGTGGAAACTTCACCATATGGGGGATTGCGAGCATGCGAATGTTTGATGGACAACTTACTTATTGTGCGGTGCGGATCGTGCCGGAACTGACAGTTGTCCGCCCATTGCTGGGCGCGGGCGGCCAGCTCGTCGTCCCAGACGATCTCGCGCATATTCTCGGCGCCCGGCTGGCCCGGATAGCGGCCCGTGGCAACGAGTTGCCTGAGGCGATTGTGTTCCTGCAAGATGATTGATCTCTCCTCGGCGGTGATGCCCGATGCTGAAACGATGGGGTCGCGATTAGCATAAAATTAGAGATATATCTATGGTATGTGTGTGTGTGTGTGCGATTGGGGACATGCTATCATTTCTATTTTTGGCTTATTCTATCCCAAATCGAAATGCTTAATATATAAAGTTTTGCTTTTTTTTTTTATAATTTTTGTATTTGTCTTTTCATCTTCTCAATTTCAGTTTGATTATTATGTATGCGTGTGTTTGTCGCTATTGGGCTTTTGTTTCGACTTGGCTTAATGATGCTCCCGTGCCAGCCGGTTTCCAGCCAAGCGAATTTGTTCACCTTTCATTCAAAGCCTTTTACGAACTGCTCAAATTTAAATGAGCTGCCTTTATTTCTTGTGTCTAATAATAGTTTCTATAATTGTGTTTATAGGCATTAAATCGCATACGGTTTTGTAGTCGATTTAATAATCGTTCCATTTAAAGTGTTTGCAAATTGTTTCGAAATAAATGTATTTTCGCCTTAGTTCGACTTCGGCTTCGGCTCAAATGCCAACCGGTTCGATTTAGAACACGTCTTGGAATAAAACCCAACGAAAATAGCAAAAAGTCAATAAACATTTAGGAGTCGATGCGGCGCGTGCTGCTCAAAGGCGTCAATTAAAAAACCAACTTTTGCCCATTAGCCAATTTTTTTTTTTTTTTATAATTTTTTGTTTTTTTTTTGTTTTCGAGATGTTTTTTCATTAATATATTTTTATTTTTAATTTTTTGCAAACGGCGCCTGACTCCACTGACTCACGATGGCTGGTGTGAAGTGTGTCAGCCGCAGACAAATTGGCTTCATTGAACTTTCATAATTTGAAACAAAAGTTTGCCCCGAGTGGAGCATATTTTGCACTTCAGTTTATATGCCGCTGCCATGAGCTGATCACGGAGTCAGCGTGGAGAGCAACAACTAAATTGCCGCTGGGTGTTAATTAGCCGAACCAGCGGCCAGCGTACGTGAGCCTCGTATGAGCTCACATAAGATCTATAGACGACATATATGGTATGAGATTTTGTTGAGGAAAAACCAAGCAAGCGTTGCTCCTTCCTGGACGTTTTGGGCGTGTCCAGTTATTGCAGCCGCATTTCATTTAAATAATTACGCGCGCTTAATAATTTTTAATAATTATAATAATGGCCGGAGTCAAGAGTCAGGCCGAGAGATCTGGCGATGGGCGCTGATTGCGCCGCCGCGACGTGAGCGCATTTAACAAGCGAACTCCTGCTGCCCCTGCCACTGCCACTGCCACTGCCACTGCCACTGCCAGGGCCATGGCATCGTCAGCTGCCGGTCAAGTGCAGCAAACGTGCTGCAGCTCAGACACTCAGACAACTTGACGCGAGCAGCAACAACAACAACAACCACAACACAGCAGCGGCAGCAGCAGCAGCAGAGTAAATAAATTTACAGCTACGCTTAGCTGCGGCTCGCACAAATATGGGTCTAGATGTCAATAGAGCCAGCCGAATCGCTTGTTCGCATTTGCTCGAACATCCGAACTGAACGTTTTTATTTTATTTTTTTTTTTAGTAAGTGTGTTTTGTGTTTTATGTTGTTGTTGCTGTTGCTGTGGCTGTGTGTGTGTGCTTTTTGTCAAGGTTAGTGCCGCTGACTAAAAATAGCAGTGAGCGAGCGGCTCTTGCAGAACCCGTCGAGCTTCAAACTCAACCGCAGCTGTCAAATTAAAGACGTGTTAGTGTTATGCTATACTATATATACATATGTATATACATATATCTCATATACATCTCCTATACATATATAAACAAAGTACATTTACATAAATATCAGTTGGCAGACATTGAGACGAACCGGTACGTAAATCAACGCACAGCACTGTCTCTCGCTCGTTCACTCAGTCAGCCACTCAGTCGGCCACTCAGTCGGCCGGTCAGCCTCAGTGCTTTAAGTCAATATGCATCAATCACAGTGCAACGGGCGCTATGCAAATTTCGTGAACTACCTTCTCTGACAAATTGCACATAAAGCTGTCGATCGATCGATTTCCGCCACATTTACATACGCTTGAGAGTTAAAAACAAAAAACAAAACAGAAAAAAAAACTGTATATGAAACATAATGTTGACAACGAAACGTCAACAGCTACCACAAAACAAAAGACTTAAGCAACGAACTGCAGCGCAGCAAATGCCAACAATATGTTAACAAGTGCTTAACTGGCAGCTCGCGTTGACTTCACCTTGAAGCTGCCAGCCTGGGAAGGCAACCGACGAAGGCGATGCCGCTGCCGCTGCCGGCCACAAAAAGGAGACACCGAGGAGCTGGCAGCATCATCTGCTCGGCATAGTTAGGCTTTATGCTGGCCGCAACATGTTTTGTTTCATTTATCATTTACTGATTATCACCCAGCTACCCTTGTTCGTTGTTCGTTGAGGTTGTTGTCGTTATTGTTGTTGTTGTTGCTGTTGCTGTCGCTGTCGCTCTGCCTGTTGCCTGCGCATCTACATATTTAATTACATTATTAGCACGGCGATGCTTTGATTGATGCCGCACAGCTAAACGTTTCCTCCGCAGAGTTCAACTGTAAATTCTGCTATTATAATTAACCAAAAATGTTGGATTTACTCGTGTCCCATTGTTCGGAACTGCGTTGAAATTCATAAAAAGCAAACATTAATCAACAACACGCACACGCGCACTATAAAATCTTTGATTTTTATTACGAAAAAAAAAGAACGAAATAACCGAAAAAAAACGAAGAAAAAAATAAACAATAACAACTGGAATTTGTTTTGGGTTTTTGTTAACAAAACGCGGCGCCTGCGTGTGCAGAACACAAAAACGCGTCAAGAGAATTGTTTGGCAAGTGTTTTTGATTTTTTTTTTTTAATTTTAATTAATTCATTTGAGCTCTTTTTTTATGTTGCGCTGATCCACTTAGCACGCCCCAATAATTGATATGTATAATTTCTCAGGCAGGTGCTTGAGCACCTGACAGAGTGTCAAATTGTCGAATTCAGTCAAGAGGCGAATTACCTTCACGGGCCTCGAGTTCGCAGTTCAATGAGCTGCCAAAACTCGCCGCTGAACCGTTTCATAATTATGTTATTTAATAATAATCGGATGGAATGAATGTTAATGAGTCGAATTGTATTTGAGTTCGATATTTGCCAAGTTGATTGGCCTTTGACTAGCTGAGAGCATATTTCACGTCTTTTCGGACTTTTCGCTATATTTTAAAGTTTATATAAACTGGAAATGCGAACAGGTTTTCGCTTTGATGATTTGGGAAGCGCAAACTAAATCAACTATTAATTATATACTTTGTGTAATGGGCCGCTCTTTCGCGTCATCTTCAGTGGAGGAAGCGCAAGCGAATATTGTAGATTGGGAAAGTTCTCGGGCACACCTCGCAAACAGCCAAGTGCGGCTTTCGCTAAATGCAAACCAAATAAAACATTGCGTTGGCAAATATTGACTGAAATTCTATGGGCACCTTTTGCTTTGGTTTTGCCTGCCTTTGGCGTTTGCCTGCTTTTCATTCATTCATAAAACAAATGACTGAAACGTGCCTCAAATGTGCGCAAATAAAAGTACAAATTTGCAAAGCACAAAACTAAAAACTAAAAAAACCAAATGCGAAACACAAAAGTTATTTGCCTGCAAAAGTCGTATAGCTTGTGTGGAAATAAAAATGTGTTTAAATTCGCGAATGCCATACAGGCATTTGTGGCCAGCCATAAGTATTCTCAGCCTCTACTCAGATCATTTTAATGCCCCAAATCAGGCAGGCCGCATACAAATGAATCGACGACAGCGGAATTGGGGCTGGTCAGCTACGACTTACCGATCAGCTTGCCATGGCAGGCGAATGCTGCTCCGCAGGAGATCAGCACGAGGGCCAGAGGTAGTAGAGCGCTGTGCTGCATCATTTTAGGTTGAGTTAGTATTTGAATTGATTTGATTACAAGATATGAACTTTAGTTAAGCACTTTTCACTTAATTAAACACTCTTGAACATAAGCTCTTCGCTGGCGACAGTCTTACATTCACTGCACTTTAGATTCGATTTAGAATTTTGCTTCTTTTTTTTCTTATTGGATTTTAAATTTGAATTTGCAATTTCAATCACACGCGTTGCCGGGCAGGCTTGCAAAAAGATCTCTCTCTCTCTTTGAGTGTGTGTGTGTGTCCAAAAAACCGAGCAAAAAAGCGTCACGAAATATTGCCGACGACTCCAACTCCACTCTCGTGCGTGCAGCTAGACTTGAAGGCGTCGTCTGTTTGATTGGACGCTGGGCGACGCTGACGTTTATATACCAAGAGCCACAGGCAGCGAGCGGCAGCGACGGCAACTGCGACTGCGGCAGCGACTGCGACAGCGACAGAGATAACAGCGGCAGCCGCAAAAGAAGCCGCCGATCAACCTGTCGCCGCGCCGGGTGAGAGCGAGCAGCAGCGCGGACTGCGCAGCCGGGCAGCAGCCGAAACGAAATCATTTTTCGCTATGCTTAGCTCAAGTGCTGCAAATATAATTCATAAAAATACTATAAATATTAATATTTAGAATACACCATAACTATATTATTTATAACAATTTCTAGTAGGCCATAAATTTGGCTATAATTCATGTCCAATGCAAATCACCTAACATATGTATATTATGTTGCTGGAAGCGCGCTTAACATGCGCGGCCCACTAACAGCCGCAACATGCTGTTAACATAACATGTTGCTAAGCCGGCTGAGCTGAACATCATCACTGTTATAACTCATACGCGACTGTCTGTTGTTGACAGCAACATGGGCGAGCATGTTGATAGCCGCAGCAGGCTATCAACATAGCATGTTGATAACATACGATGTTTCTTAGCATACGATGTTGATAGCCGCAACGTTAGCAACATATGATGTTGCTGAGGTTGACCAAGCGCTTTGAGGATATTGCAGCTAAAATGGCTTGAGGGAAAAACGTTGAACATATATTTTATGAAACTCTTTATGTATGAAAATACTAAAAATATTTTAAAATCAAATATATAAAGTAAGGAAGAGATATTCTTGAATATTCTTGAATATTCTTGATTAGCATGAATAGAAATGTGCTGAAAATATTGTCTTTAATATTCATATTTATCAAACTTTTCCTGTCTGGTCGCTGAGATTTGACATCACCAACTTCTATTCTTTACGCTATATGAAGCTAGCTCGTTTCTTAAATGTCTTTAACCTCGGATATCTACGTCACAGATATTTGCGTCACAGCAAATAATGATCTGATATAAATTAAAATATTATAAGCTGGATACATATATTGTTATCCAAGTCCAAAAATACATTCTAAAACTTAAGCCAAAAAGAAATAAAAATAAACTTAATTTACATGAATATTTAACTGAATTAAACTATATATTTTATTTATGCCGAGTTGCTGTTACCCTTTTGCTCTCGAAAATGATTGTGTTCTTTAATAATTGCCGGCGAAAGACATTGATTGAACTTTATGTTGATCGGAGTACGGGATACGGGCTACGGGCTACGGGCTGTGGCTGGTTTGGGGCAACAATCACTTGAGACGTTGCACAAACGGGGCGTGGCACTGGGGTAGCGCTGAGCAAAAGTTAAAGGGGCAGTGCATTGCCTGCGGCCAGAAGCTTCGATCATTTCGCGTATCATTAAAAGCCAATAAAAACACCCAATTAAATATAAGAAAAATAAAAACAACAACAACAACAATGAGAGAGAATCGAAGCGGCGAACCAATTCCCAATGGAGCCTTTCACCAGCAGGGCTAAAAGCTGCAAAGGGAACCCACAAGTATACAGATATATATCGCTATATATATATATATATATATATGTGTGTGTGTGTGTATATGTGATGTGTACAGCATGGTCAGATATATGCTCATAAAATTGGAGCAGAATCGCGTTTCCGCTATAGCTGATTTTCGCGCCGCGGCGACACGGCTTCTTGCCAAAATAATTACGCGTACAAAGCCATTAACAAGTACAAACGATTGCGCCGGCTCAACGTGGTAGCCTGATCTTGGCCATGTTGCCAACTGGTTTGCTTGCCACAGAATGCCACACATGATGTCTGACTCTTGACTGGCAACAGGAGGCAGCACTCAGGTGGCAGCTGGCCGGGCAGGGGCAGGGCAGGGGCTGAGCTGGGAGGGCAGTCAGTGACGTCTCAGCTGCACTTCTGATTTATTTTATTTCACAAAGAGCAACATAAATATAAAAAAAAAAAAATCAAAAATATGAAATAAACATGTGTACTATATATGTATATATGGGTGTAGTTGCTGCTTCTTCTTTAATTTTTATGTTTTTGTATGTGCTTCTTCTGTGCTTTTTGTTGTTTTGCTTTTTTGCAACTTGTTGTGCGCGTTGTTTTCGAATGCTAGTTTACATTTCCTACTTAGCCATCCACTTCATTACGTTTTATTTGCGCTTAAACAATACGCACACACACACACTCACACACACATACAGAGTTGCAGCTAAAATTTAAACAAACATTATTGACCTTCAATGAAGGCGCCTGTCCAGTCTCAGTCTCAGTCTCCGCCTCTGCCTCTGCCTCTGCCTCTGCTCTGCCCAGCCCATATGCCATTCAATTCGTTTCGATTCGATTCTGAGCACTTTGCATTTGTATCTGTGGCTGAAGCGCGATGTATCTCAGCGTGTGCGTGTTGCTGCGTACACTTAAACGCATGTTCAGCAAAAAGTGTGTAAAGTGGGAGAAAAAAAGAAAAGAAAAGAAACACGAACAGAAATAAGCAGATAGCCAGCAGCTCATTTAGCTCAGCATCTGGCTGTTATCGCCTGTTGTGGTTTTATGAGTCAATTTAATGTCTTTGTTGCGAGCAACGCGTGCTGTTCCCCTCTACAATTTGTATTCAGTTGCCACCCACTAGCAGCACTCAGCACTCAACACTCACTCACTCACTCGCTCATTCATTGATTCATCTTAACGGAAGCGAACATAAAGAGAAAACTTGTTCGCACAGCCATCCTGACAATATGCATTTACAATACCTAACACTTCCCTAGAAAGTGTCTGCATAACATTAAGATATTACAGGCACACATATACATATATGTATGTATGTGGAACCGTTGACTCATGCCACTCATACCATTTGTTAAGTTCATGTTCTGCTTAACAATTAAGTAAACATACTTGGCTGGTTGGCTGACGACCCAGTTCAGCTGTGTCGCAATTCAGTTCAATGCGCCTGCCATCAGATAGTGCTCTATCTTTAAGGTCGACATAACATTTCCATTTTGTTGTTGTTGCTGTTGTTGTTGTTGTTGTTACATTAACGAGGCGAGCTCGTTTGCCTTGCTGATAATTTCTCTAATCGGACAATTTGTTCAGTGCAATATATTTGCGCACTTTTGTCAACATTTTGCGGAACTATCTTTATACATAAAATTGACGAGAGTAAGGGTGTGTGTGTGTGTGCGTTAAACATTCTGTCATTTATCAGCAATTGCATGGCCTGTGGTGCTGCGGGGGCGGATCGGTCAGTGTCACTCAAATCTGTTGGTGCATCCTTGTTGCCCGCTGCGCTTCCGTCGCCCCATCAATCTTTTAGCAAATATGCACCAGCCACGCCCAGTTGCAGCTGCAGCTCCAGCTGTCTGCCTTCGTTTCAGAGATGCGCAAGCAGCGAGCAGCAACAGTAACAGCCGCATTAACAATTTAATAAATATGAATTCGTTTGCGATTTGTCACAGCTTGTGCAATAAATGAATAAATTGATGGCACAATGTCATAAATTTCGAGATAAAAAAACATCAATACAAAAATCTGATTGAAATGGAATGAAAACAATATCATTAAAGTCCAATTAATGAATACAAAAAGCAACAAATTTTATTATTCAATAACAAGATAAATTTTATATTGAAAATAAAAATAAAAAGAAAGATTAAGTTAGTAGAAAACCTGTCAAAAAAAATATTAAGATGTGTTTTAACTTTACACTGATTATTATATAACAT